GGCGTGGCTGGAGAGGCAGCAGGAGGAGTGGCAGGAGGGGGCATGAGCATGGGCAGGGCAGGGAGGGCAGGTGCATGTGACAAGGCCATGCCATAGTGCACAGCGTGACCGACGTCAGGGTGGTAATTGCATTGCACATGCGGTCACACCGGTGCAGGAACTGTTCCCATGCCTACTGCCACCACTCCAGGTCTGCATCGATTTTCCTGGCGATCGCCTCCTCAATTCTCTTGATGGCCTGGACGTGCCACCGTAGTAGTTGGTCCCGCTGCCTGGCCCGACGGACTGGTGCCTGGAAGGTTGGGGGTGCTGCTGCTGGAGGGTCCCTCATCCCTTGAATGGTCCTGCTGCAGAGAACAGAGAAAATAATGGGTTGGTCAGGCAGACCTGCCCACACGGTCCCTTTACCCCATGCCCTCCGCCCTGAGCCCAGTCAGTCCCCCGCAGTGTGTATGTTTGCATACAGGACTCCCCCGGAGTAAAGTGATCCTCCATGAATTGTAACCCCTTGCCTGTGTCCTAGCCACTTGGCATGTGTTGTGTCAACCTGTGGAACTCCTTGCTGGGGGAAGCTGTGAAGGCTTAGGATTTTTAACAGAGTTCACAGAGGATCTAGATAAATCCCCACATTGCATGGGAACAAGTATGGCAGATGAGGTCTGGGCTCTCAGACCCCTGTCAATTGATGTCCTCAGAGACAGAGCTAGGGTGACTGGGGAGTGTACCGTCCTTGCAGCAAAACTCAAGTGGCCATAGGGCCAGGCTGATCGCTTCCTCGCTCCTCCTCCCACTAGCCCTCAGACAAGTAGCCCAGGGAAGTGTGTGGGGCTTCCCTCTGGGGTAGTCTAGGGGCTTGGAGCAGGCGAGGGGCTCCGTGGGGGCTGTGCTTACCGGGCTGGTTCACTGTGGTTTTCCCAAGAGCAGCTGCTGTGTCTCACAGCCAGGCATGGCTGCATGCTGTCTGTGTGCACTGGCATCAAGGGTCCTGAGAATGAAGGTTGCATTGACAGTGGGAATTTGAGGATTAGAAATAGGAAAAAAAGGCTCCATTATGCAAATTACTGATCATTTCAATAAGGTGTGAAGTGCCCTTAAATCCCATGAAATCCATTGGAGTTCTGGTGTCTAGCACTTTGTAGCATGAAGTCCAAAATATGGAGTCAACAACTTTCCAAGAATTATTTATGGAATCCTTTCCCATGGCAGCAAAGAGTCCTCAAAATCTTTAAAATCTATGTAGCGCACACTTTGCTCTATATCTTATTATCACAAATGGTGCTGTCCTTAAGAAAGTGTTCGAATCATCATCTAAATTGGCTATAAAGAAACACAATTATATAACAGCTCCATATTTTCCTCCCCTTAAAAATTCAACAGAAACAAAAGCCAGATCCTTGACTGAAGGAGCACTTGAAACTTGCTGTCTGTAATTTCGGCATTGTTCCTTATATAAATGTATTTATGTAGAAGTGTATGCACTTCTTTTTTAAAAAAAGATGGATTTTTTTCACTGCATATCAGCTAAAACACTAAAAGGAGACAGAAGTTCTGGGCAGGTGTGGGAACCCCTACCTAGTTACAGTCGAAATCTCCATAGATAATCATATAACCCAATTACAGTGCCATTGTCACTGTCCTCTTATAGGGTATGTCTACACTACCCTCCTAGTTCGAACTAGGAGGGTAGTGTAGACATACCCTCACTGAGGATGGTGTGGAGGCGATTGTAGTGGGGACAGGTGTCAGCTTCTGCCCCCTGACCCTCGGTGGCCCGGACATAGCCCAGGTGTAGCTCCTTTACCTTAGCCCGGACCTGTTCAAGGGTCCGGGCTGGATGTCCTTGCTCGGAGAGCGCCTGGGCCATGCAGCAAAAAAAGTCAGCATTCTGCCGACGGGCACGGGGGTCATGGAGGGCTTCCTCGTTGGCCCACAGGTCAAGAAAGGCCTCCACCCCATCCTGGGACCAGCACGGGGCATGCCTCTTGGTGCCCCTTGGGGCCTCCTGGGAACCCTGGCGTGTCTGCTGGGGGCCGGGGCAGGCTGTTGTTGTCCCCCTGGAGCAGACATCATGATGGGGTTTGTGGTTGCAGCAGGGCAGAGCCACTGGGGAGAGCTGGTGGCTGAGCTGCTGCTGCTGCTGCGTGGTGTCTGTAGTCTGCATGTGCCTTTAAGGGGGGTCCGGTAACCAGGAAGTATGGAGCTGTGAGCAATGCTACGGAGCTTCCAAGCGGCCATTTGGCTTTTTTCCTGTGAGGCCGGTTCTTGCACAAAAACTCTTGACTGCCTGTCTGCACTGGCCTCTTGCGCAAGAACACTTGCACAAGGACGCTTCTTCCTGAGAGGGAGCGTCAGAGCTCTCGCACAAGAAGCTGTTTTCCAACACTGTACTGTAGATTTACTTGAACAACAACGCGTGTGCAGTGTAGACAGATGGGCCTGATTTGAAACTTTGAATGCCTACATTAGCCTCCCTAGTTTGAACTAGGGGGCTAGTGTAGACATATCCTTAGAGTTTCTTTCATTCCGAAAATACTTAAATGCCTTCTTATACTTCTCAGTCCTTCCATGAACATTCCTGCCAGCAAACTCCTTCACTAAAATATGTGTGTAAAGTAAACACCTAAGGAGGGTGAACCAAGTTGATGCAAATTAATTACTAAGCCTACAGAAAAATGCCAACATTTATATTCTCCAATATTTGCTTAGTTGCAGTTCTATACCTCAGCAAAGCCCATTGAATGTACAGTGTACCAAAACTGCATATCCTGGCAATACCTTTGAAGTTTTTTTCTTCATCAAGAGAGATGTCATGGTCTGTAGGTGCACATGATGTGAGCGCATTTCCAGTTTCACGGGGATTATTTTCATTGTTTCCTGACTGACATACAAGGCCTATGAGATGTTGGCCCAAATAGGATTAAACAACACAGCAGAAATGACTGAACTAGAAAAAGTCAATGCTGTTCTGCTTCTCTATGCTCCAGTCTTCTGGCTTCTAGGATGTATCTTTTGCATCTATTCTGTGCCTGGTAGCATGCTTTTTTCCTCACCTCCGGGACACAGAGAGCCATAGTCTAGGGAGATAAGTGCTGACTCATGTGGATCCAGCAGCAGCAACGGCAGATAGCTTGAGAGTTGGGGACAGAAAGAGAGGGAGAGTTGAGCCAGGACCTAGCTAGAGGAGCCAAAAAGCCCGTGTGACCTTTGTTCTGTTGTGCTAGGCCGCACACTTTGAGCATGCTCTAGGAAGTGATTCTATCCTAGCTATGCATGTGTCCATGCTTACTGGGAGCCCATCAATGTGTATGGCCTAGAGAAGGGCTATTCAACACGCCTGCGGCCCATTTGTTTGAGGCCTGTGGGTGGGAACCAAAAGGAAAAAGTATGCAATATAATGGTCGTTTGCTGCTATGCGTTTTACTAGTTAAATTCCTGGACTGTCATTGTGCATTAAAAGTGCTGTCATATGGGTAGAAATTGGGTAACTATTGCATTTTATTAATGTCAGAAGAACTGACTTAAATGGGACCTGTGTATTGTGTCATCTTTCCTTAATCTTTGTATTCATGCCTGTCAGCGTGAAAGAAGCTATTTGCATATATATTTGCATGTATATGCAACCATACTTACGTTGCAGCCCTTGGCATGTGCTGTGAGTACCATTGTGGCCCCTGGGGCTTCCAAAGTTGAGTACCCCTGGCCTAGTGCATCTAGTGACTGGAGTGCCTATAGCTATTTCTCCTTAACTTGTGCCACACTTAGGATGTTAAATATATGAAAACATTGTTGTATGTATCATGGTGTTCACAGGAGCCCCAGCAAATGAGTCAGTTACAGTATATGTGATTGCCTTACATTACTTCTAAACTGTATTGCAGCTAATGCAATTAATCCATCTCTCTACAGGTGATACAAAGGGGGCACTTGCAGGTAAGGGTTAGCAGTCATTAGAAATGACTCCTAAATGTCTCTCTTCCTTGGCTGATTATCCTTTTCCTCATGCTGGCCATTTTCCGCTCTACTCCTTACAAAGAGTATGTTTGTAAAATCTAAGCAAGCTGTAACAGGAGACTGACTAATTGTTGTTTTTCACCCTAGCAACACAAAATTCCCTTTGCCCCTGAATTTGTTTGTTGTTATGGAAGTATGTTGCCTGACATTCTGAGATAAACTTGGCTTTTAAAATATAACTTACTGATGTAGCATGTAGCATTTCCCTTCCCCAACCCCATGTCTTTTTCTACAATTAATTTTCTTCAAGTTTCGCTCCATTATTTCCCAAGGCTGCAATTTACACACCCGAGCCCCATGTTTGCTAGGTGTTTCTGACAAGGCTGCTTGCTAATGCTAAATGTCTTATTTCTGTTCTGCATATAAAAGGGTCTGTAGATCATTGCCTTTCCCTATCTCCTTGTGTTTTTTCATGCTCTGATTTACGGGAACACAAATTAACACCAGTGTTAAAGACAATGGGTACTCCTATGGCACCTTAGAGACTAACAAATATATTAGAACACAAGCTTTTGTGGGTAGAACCCACTTCATCAGATGACCTGGTGTGAAAATTACAGAATCCATAGTATAACAGCAAAAGTATTTACTTGTCAATTGCAGGACCAGTGTTAATGCTGCTAGGTGAGTCAAAGTTGTTAAAGGTTTATCTGCCTCAGAATACAATTCACCATTCCAGAAAACTAACTGAGCTGGCATTCCATGCTGCAGCTACTAATACCCTCAGCTACCCCTATACTCAATGCTGAGGTTATATTGGCTTCAGAAGTAGGCGTGTTAGTTTGTTTCAGCAAAAACAAGGAGTCCAGTGGCACTTTAAAAACTAAGGCTACGTCTACACTGGCAAGATTTTGCGCAAATACTTTTAACGCAAGAGTTCTTGAGTTAAAGTATTTGCACAAGAGAGTGTCTACACTGGCATGTGCTTTTGCCCAAGAGATGTGCTTTTGCGCAAAAGCATCCGTGCCAGTGTAGTCGCTCTCTTGCGCAAGAAAGCTCTGACGGCCATTTTAGCCATCGGGCTTTCTTGTGCAAGGAATTCACGTTGCCTGTCTACACTGGCCTCTTGTGCAAGAACAGTTGTGCAAGAGGGCTTTTTCCTGAGTGGGAGCATCATAGTTCTTGCGCAAGAAGCACTGATTTCACACATTAGAACGTCAGTGTTCTTGCGCAAGAACTCCCCGCCAGTGTAGACAGGCAGCATGTTTTTGCACAAAAGCGGCTGCTTTTGCGCAAAATCATGCCAATGTAGACACAGCCTAACAATTTTATTATGGCATTAGCTTTCCTGAGTTGCAACTCTCTTAATCAGATGCATGGAGGGAAAGAAAAGAAA